ATGGTTTAGTTCAACTTTAAAAAGGTTCAAAAAGCAGATATAAACTGCAAAAAGTTCGAGTATAAAAGTAGTCTACTTTAAGAAATAAAGTGACATATAACCGGCACTGTTTTTTTGTCTCGTTTAACCTGAGAAAAAAAACATTGATATCGTCAATCATACACGTGGCGAGAATATATATAGGTTTATAAGAAGCATGTTTCTTCGTTTGAAGAAAAATGTTAGAACAGGATAGATTGCTCCATGTGATATAAACATATATATATATACTCTCGCCACGTGTATGATTGACGATACAGAGAGATTCGGGCAGTCGCGCCGCGACTACAGGACTTTATAGCGATCGCGTCGCGAGTCTTCTAAAATACGTTTCTTGAAAGAATACGACTTTACCGCGATCGCGCGGCGACTTCGCGAGTTCACAGCGATCGCTATCGCGACAGAGCGATCGTGCCGCGAGTGTCGACCTGGGTATAGTGAGATTTCATAGAATTCTTCTATGATTTTTGTAAGATCTTGATCTGATTTTTTGACCTGGATCTTTAAGAAAAAAATCTTTTTCTTTTTATAATATTTTCGAGCATAGGAAGGGCTCTGAAGTCCTTAGGCACGTGTCTAACCACGTTTCTTGTAGCCATGTGCTTTATTTGTGCTCAGCTGATGTGTGAAATTGAAGGTAGAAAAACACTTCTTATAACAAAATTTCAAATGTTTTTGTTCCTTCAACTTCACACATCAGCTGAGCACAAATAAAGCGCATGGCTATAAGAAACGTGGTTAGACACGTGCCTAAGGACTTCAGAGCCCTTCCCATGCTCGAAAATATTATGAAAAGAAAAAGACTTTTTTTCTTCTCTAGCGGGGATCTGTAGAACTTATCTGAATTTGATAGGTTTTAAATCTATCAAGACGTTATGTTCCACTAGCACACCAAAAAACATCGCTGTCTGTTCCCGTAACTTTATCTTTCGCGATAAATATTTCTGCATAGAGATTCAGTGTCATCTCGAACTGTAAAAATTATCGCTTCTTAACAGAGCTCCCTGTGACATAAAAAATTTTCAGTCCAGTCCAGTTCTGTCTGAGCCTATGAACAGCAGTTTTTTCAGTCCACGAACTCAAAAAAGTAGTCTGATTATTCTTTGATTCAAGTGAATCCAAAGACTTTTTTTCGAATCCAGACAATTCGATTGTCTGGAAAGTTTGAATCCAGTCCAGTCCCGTCCGAGTCCATGAACTCAAAAAGTTTTCAGTCGAGTCCACACGAAGCTCTACTTCTTAATCGCAATATTTTACCGTAAAAAATCATTATGGAGAAAAGAAATCCTTTGAACCTTATTTAGATCCAAAACATTCACCCAATGCACAGATTCTTCTTCCAAAAACGGGAAAGTGCAGCACAAATAGGAGTATGATGTACATTTACGGCAGCTGTGTCCCCATACTAAATTTCAATAAAACTTAGGTCAATACCAACTGTCACCTTAATGTCATTTTATGTAGTGAGGTGCTAAAATTTGCTTTGACTACAGACGCTGTAAAAGGGCCTAATTTTTGACTCTTCTCCAAAAATATCGCAGAAAATCACACTTGATTACTGCCCTTGGGGCCTGTTGAGAAAATTTATATTACTGCGTTCTATTCGTCTACTTAAGATAACGTTTGCGTTAGTCGATTGCCCGATAGCCGGCCGTATATAGAAATGATGAATATGTGACTTTCATCTATATTTTTTCATTATTACGTCACTAAAAAGTATTTATCACCGTTGCTCGAACACAAAGTGTAAGTGTATCAATAAAAAATTAGTAAAATATTCAGATATTCATATGATATGGTAATATCCAGTAATAAATGACGTCGCGAACTATAAGATATATATTTCAAGTGTAAAGATATTGAACGTCTAAAGACGTTTAAAAAGTTAAGAAATTCAAAGTTGATTTTCTTATCTTCTTCCATCGAAGTCCTTGCCAATTCTTGAATCAGCGGCTTTTTTTTCCTCTTCTTCGTATATATATCATTTCTAGATATATCCTTTCACATAAAATATTCAGTGAAAACTTCAAGATTTTCTATTATATATTATATATATTGACTTGAACTTGAAAGTCAATATAGGAGCGCCACAAGATCTAGAAGTATCACTGATACTTTTTTATAGATCTTGTAGCGCTCTTTCTGTACAGTTCATCAACTCAACACTCGAATATTTTTAAAATGCATTGATGTATTATCGATGCTATTGGTGGTCAGGTGATCTAATCATATTCCAAGAATTTTCATCTCTAGGTTGTATTTGCCTCTTCGCTGATGCGATGACGCAACATTTCTTCCTCCTCTCTACTCGTCTACCCATTCTTAGACTGAAACAAAATATATTCATTCATTCCTTCGGAATACGACCAAAAGGAAAATTAGAAAGGGTAGTCTACTGAGACTGACCATCGTCATTTTTATTCATTCATATAAACATAAAGTATTTTTTTTATTAACGGACATTCCGTAATCTACAACTCGTGTTTCCTAGTATTATAATTCATCAAAAATATATTTACGAATCACCAACAACAACCGTTATTTTTTATTTTCTATCTGTTTTTTTCATTCTTTTCTGTGATTGTGTACGATTGTAGAACATTAGCCAGTAAGTATTATGTGATGGGAATTTATCTAACCTTGTAAAACAAAATTGTGCTCATCGGAATTTTGCTCGGCGGTGGCTACGGTACTTGGCAGTGAAGAAGGTTTTCATTTTACATATTCAAATTATTCTTTTTACGTACATTTTTCTTGTTGGTCAAATATCTAATTCCGAATTAGCACATTTTAGTTTTAATCAAAATTCTTGGGTAAATGCCCATATAATTTTGCTATAAAAGACTATGATTCATGTATTTGTCTTCCTTTAGATGAATAGGAAATTCAATTTTTAAACTGATTATATCTTCAAATAAAACTACACAAACTTATTTAATTACTATTGGGCGATACAACAAACAATGCAAATGAACGACCCACAACAGATGTTTCCACCGACGCGATACGTTCAGCTCAGTAATAATCCGAGTCAGGGTATGACAGTCGCTGCTTCGCGTGTTAGTGTGCACAGATAGATTAGTTCTGTTGTATAGGACTCATGTGACTGTAAATTATGTTTAGTCCTCAAAAAGAGAGGAGAGTCACCGATTTGGAACAAAGCACGTTTACATTGCTGTATATTTGGTCTATGAAGAGTGAAAATTTGCTTTTCTGCTTGTTCTATTCGGATTGTGCATCTAGTAGCTGGTCAAAAGGTCTTCGCTATATGCGCTTGTCTAAAGGTGTTTCTGCTTTTAGAGAGGATATATAAATGACTGTTAAAACAATACTTTTGTGTTTTTAGTAATACCAAATCAGATGCGATTTCGACTGTCTCAGCCTGGAAATCATCCTGGACAAGTATGTATTAAACAATATTGCAAAAGAGAAAAGAAGAAAAATATATGTTCTTGAATTTGTTCTTTACACTTGCTTGGTGTATAATGTAGAGGTAAAGGAGTAACGCTTACACAAATTACAAGTGATAAGCGTATGGCAATGATTGATTTAGATTCCAATTAACTCCTCCAGAATAAAAGATGCTGCTTCTTACTTTCTTGTTGACTTCTACCGTGATTGATTGTTCCCAGTTCTTTTTTGTAAAGACGCTTTTTGTCGTCTAATTCTACAGTCATTTTGAATCCTTCCCTGTTGTCCCTTCTTCTGAAACACAAGACGCCTCTTTTGTTTGCTATAAACGTTAAGGAAATAGTTTTATGCAATACATATTGCATATACGCTCGTTATTTCGAGTATTTCGTGCGCCCGGTTTAAACTACGCAAAATCCTGAGAATATTTTTCCCATCATGTGCTTTGTTTTTTCAGACCAAAGAGGATAGCTTCATTAATCTACCAAAATATAGAAGAGAAAAACAACAAAACTGCGGATTTTTTGTAATTGCAAGAGGAGTATTCTTCGGCAATGTTCTTCTTACATTCATATGGGATGATCCCGTTTTCTAGTTACTAATTATACGTTTCTTGCACTCATCCAAGTTACGAAGAGAAGGCATTTTGACATTGTGAGGATTGTGGTTGTTTGCCAAAGATAACCGTTCCGAAGCATGGCGTGAATTTTTCATCGATGTATCATTCAGAGTGTTTTAATAATCTAACATGCATCGATAACAAAACACCTTGGTTTTGACGTCTGATACTCTTAAATTGTTGGAAGTTCAAATTACTCTTACAGATCAGCCATCTTTGTTTACCGTAAATTAATTACTACCATTCCACACACGTTAATTCCATGAGTCTGAAGTTCGATTGTAAGGTGTGTTTGCAGATAAAAAAGATCTTTTTAAATTTCTGTTGGATTGCACTAATTCCGTCACGTGTTGAGAAATATGTGTCATTGAAAGCAAAGGCGTGAATAACGATTACTAGGACTCTTTTCATCTAGTGTTTGTTTGTTTAGTATGTCCAACAGCATGCAAATAATGGTTATGCACAGGGCGGCCAGTATAGTGTGCCAAATCCTCCATTTTTTCAACCACATCAACAACGAGTAAGGTTCATTATTTGGTGAACTCTAAACATCTTTTTACTTCGCTTTCGTTGCTCAATAATTGCTCTTTGATTTGCAGCAGCCATATCTGATTCGTCCACAAGATGAACAACGGCAGATGAATCAAGGAACATTTATACCACCACAAAGTTTCATACCATCTCAACCTTATGGACAACAGTTTACTTTGCCTGTAGGCTATACTACTTTTCCTGGTATGCAAATGTAGTTTGACTTGACTGAGCTCCGTTAAGAAGAATCGCATCATTTAGCTGTGACACTAAAATCGAAGCTCCTAATAGTGTCTGTTGAACGATGTATTTTCTTAGCTGTCGCATCTTACCTTCCTTAGTAAAAGGGCTGTTTTGTTTGTTTGTTCAGGTTACCCCGTTACATCTCAGATGCACCCCACGTCTTTTATAACTCATAATGCACCTCCAATAGCTCAATATCCAGATTCACCACTGATACCGGGAAATCCGGTCGTACATTACACTTCATCCCAACAACCGCCATCCTCTAGTACACTTCAGTCAACGATACCGTCATCAAGTTCTACCATCACTGGACAAATTCATTCTATTCCACCACCTTCAGCTCAAGAATCGACTGCAAAACGTCAGAAAAAACCATTATTAATCGTAGATCCGAACACAAAAGAAAATGTTATTATTGAGCAACCTACCGAACATCCACAGCAACGACCACTTACACAGTCTCAACCACCTCCGATTGTCTCGAGCAGCGGTGAAAATCCGCCGGAGCCTTCACCATCGAATCCAGACACATCAGCAAACTCGACTGATCAACAGCGAAAGATTCGTGCCGATTTTGCATCAGCAGTAGGCAAAACTCTCGCTCAACCAACATCACCACCATTAGATAAACCATACAATCCACCAGGTTACTTGCTTCACGCTCAGTTTATACATACACTTTTCGCTTTTCAAAGATATTGAGAAATAATTAGATGTCAGTGCTATCATTGGGCTCTGATAAGGGTACTATGCTCTGTAATTGAAAACGGTTCTAAAGGGCATATGCTGCACTTTAATAGATCGACGACTTTCGTTATCACTTTTGATAGCTTTTAAACGTTTGCTTAGTTTCTTTATTGATTTTCTGTCTACTTTTAGGTGCTCCACCATCTATGTTATCGGCACCGCTCAATGAGCCATTTACAAATAATAATCATGTTCAGTCGCAGCCACAGCGTTCTCATCCATCTCAAGCGCCCAGAAAAACATCATTACCGACGCAAGAACATGGTAGGTTAACTAGAGTTAGTTAGTTAAAAGGCCCTGACGTTTTGGTGTAGGGTGAAGATCAAAATGGCACGATAAATAAAAAAGTATAAAATTTTTTGGTGCACTAAAGGAATACACAATGTTCCTTCGATTGATTTCTCATTCGTTCGTCAAAGAGCAGTAATATTAAGGGATATCGTCTTCGTCAGTGTATCACCTCCAAGCCACAAACAGACTTTCGATATTACCCATCATTTCGTTTAGAGTATTAGTGCTCAGGTTTTTCAACAACCTATTTTTCTTTAACACAAGTAAACGGACTCACGAGAAGTTGTATGCATCATCACTCGGTTACACAATGTTTCAAGCTAACCAAATGAGAACAGAAAAAATAAAGATTTCGTATTGTTCCTAGAATTCGACTGAATGTTTCTTCTGCATTTATCGGTTGAAACATCTTTTTTCTTTAAGCTAACCCAGTATGATTAAAGTTAATGCAATATAGAATAAGAAGAGAAAGAGCTTGGGTTTTGTAAATTTCAACGTTTATTTTAGATTAAACGAAAGCACCGTATATTTACCATGAAAAGTTGTGTTTAGTCGTTAATCATCTTCAGTTAACGATATAGTTCATAAATGCCAGATTTCGGTGCATTCAAGCATTCATTAAACTAACTATTTCCGCATTAGTGTGTCGTAAAGACGTTATTCCCAATGTGTGATGCTGTCGTGGTATACAGTTTCACTAATATATACCCAAATTTTTATAGTTAAGTTTAAACTTAACTACCGCGCTGATGAATGTTTTAAGCTACTTTAGAGCAAGCATGGGCGAGTCCGAGTCCATTTCGAGCCCGGTAATCTTTTAGATTCTTTTTTGGTGAGCGTGGTTTATTTCTCTTTTTTAATTTAATGAGCCCTGGATAGATATTTGATTTTTTGGAAAATAAGTTTACTTTACATGTCCATCTACCGAACAAAATTTTCGATTTCTTGTGAAACAGGCGTTGTTATTTCGCTTTTCATTTTTCTCTGTTTATTTGTGTTAAAAGTTAAACAGATCGGATTCGAAAAACAAAATCTCGAGGTCCAGTCCGAGTCCTTCAAAACTATCTTCCAGTCCAGGGGGTCGTATCACAAAAAAACTTAAGCCAAAGGGTGACTTAAGTCATGGGAAATGTAGTCTTAAAGTTAAGACCGAAAACGTAAGTCGGACACATAAGTCATTGACACATTTTTCGAATAGCTCAGGCATTTAATGATATAATTCGACGAAAACGACATTCTAAAGATTAGAGAATAAATATTTTGTTATTTTGCGGGTTTTTATCCAAAGTTTGTCACTGTTGTCAACGACTTTTAAAAAGTAAACAAATCGCCAACATAAATCTTTTTTGTGATACGATTTAAGTCCCCGGACTTAAGTCGGTCATAAACTTAGACTTAAGTTTTTTTGTGATACGACCCCAGACTGGGACTCGTCCATGCCTTCTTTAGAGTTTATTTATAACTCCTGTACAGAAGAACCCTTATAGCTTTTTTTGTAATATTTGTAATCGGCAAGCTTTATTTTCATTGTATGATATGGTGGTCTCTTAGGTAGTCGATTTCTACCTTATGCTGTTCATTTTATATTCATGATTTTTCTTCTTTGGCTTTCCTTCAGACCAGAAACGTGGATCTAGTAATCCAACATCATCGACTACTACTGTCGGTACAACATCCCCACAACGTGATTTCTCACCCGTTCCTTCTACGTCAAGTGAACCACAAACAAAAGTAAGACAACAACCTAGTGTTCCAGGTATTCGTGTTGGTCTAAAACCTGATGAGAAAAAAGAAGAAAAAGAAAATGCAAGAAAATTATCTGAACCATCTGACGGAGTGAAACAACAGCAAGCAACTTCGACTGTTATCCCGACGGTGATCTCAAATGAAACACAACAGCAAACAGATAAAACAACTACAGTAATTGAACCAGAAGAAGAGAAAAAGGTAATAAATGAAGTTTAAAGTGCGAGTTGGTCACGCTTCTTGGACACCTTGGAATCGACAACTTTTAGTTGTACAGCTGAATTTGGCGGGCGGATACAGAACGCGTTTTCAGCTTAATCTCAAAACGTAGCTCACATTCGCATCTATTTAAAAGTGCAAAAAATCAATTTTCAAAATTCAAAATTCAGCCGTCTCAATAGTTTCAAGCGAATAGTTTTTTGAAAACTATGACTTTAGTAAACCCTGAACCCCCCCCCCCCTCATTTACATTTAGTTCAGTCTACTAAATTGTAGCCCATAAAGTTGTGGACAAAATGAGATATCCCGAGTTCTCTTCGATCTCGCTGAAATATGAATATTACAAATTTTGGCTGATTTTCCATATCTGAACGCATGAGGAAATTTTAGTATATAAAACGGCGTGTGCGCCCGTGAATATCGCGAAATGAACGGTGATCGCACCTGAACATCGTAGATGGTGTGTGGGCACGCGTAAAAAGTATATTCCCCTGGTGACAACGCGTGAACTACTCACGGCAACTTTTCGCACATGGTAAAAGCCCTAAACGGTTTTGAAATCTGCTCCTCCCAAATCCGAAAAGATTTTGCTCTGAATTGAGATTAACAATCAGCGGTATCTGACGTATGCTAATAAAGATAAGAGTATGTGGAAATGAAGAAGAATGAGTCTGAGTTCTGATTTAATGCTGCATAATCAGCAATCGTTTGACTACTCATTATACATTTTCTCGATTTAAGAGTAAAGACCATTATATTTTTTTTTTCTGTTTTCAGGAAAATTTGCTACGACTCGGATTTTGAAAGCTTTGAAGTCTTCTTGCTCTCTTTCACCAACTTTGCTCCCAAATCACATGGTATAAACGCAGAAGAGAATCTTCATGAAATTGGTGAAAAATATTGTGAGAATGCTGTGCCAAGGTGTACACAATGATAGTTCTGTTTTCGTTCATTTTAAAAGTGTTCTAAGTTGCGCCAGTTCTATTTACAAGCTTTGACTTGAATTTGAACTTGAAAGAATTCAAAATTGTAATTTTCATGTCCTACTGGAACAATTGAAAATTAATTTGATATAACAAATGTTATATCAATGTAATTCGAATTAATTTTTGATCTGGAAAAAATTAGTTTGAATTAATTTAAAAATTTTCAATTGGATTTTAAAGTGATTTGTAACTTGTAGCAGTAGAAAAAAAATTACTTAGTAAAAGAAGCAAGTGTTACAGTTTTTGGTTTAGTTCATGAACATAGTGTGTGACTCAAAAACATTTATCAAACTAACTTGGTAATACAAAAGTCAATCGATTGTAATTGTTTAATCCTTTTATACAAATGTAAAATTTCTGCAATTCTGATGATATTTCTTTCAATAAATAGATCGTATACACGTACTTAACTGTTATTGATATATATATTAGATCATTAGAAATAATCATTTTAAAATAATCTTTTTTAAGAAGAAAAATAAATTTTATTATCAAAGTAATTCATCAGATGTTGCTACTGAAATTCAAATATTGCGCAAGAATAATTGCATAATAATTGGACAACTTTTGACTTTGATTTCACACTTTGTTTAGTGATATATGTCGTCGTCGCCTGGGTTTGTACCCGGTTATTCTAACTGTTTTCAGTATTGTTTTTCACATTTTTGAGATGATTGAGATGATTCTTTCTTCTCTATTCTGTCGTTCGTCTATATTACATAACGTCTGTGTAATAATGAAAAGCAAAGAAAAAGAAGGGCATCGCATATTCTTTTCCGCTGTTTTGTTCTTTATTTCTATTCTTGACTTTTCTTTCATTCTCTTTATCTCTCATTTGTCCATCAATTGTATGCGTGATCTGTTGTACAATATATAAACATGCAATAATACAAGCATTTATGTTTATTCGTTAAATAACAAAGAGGAATAAATGACCAAAAAAACACAACTGACAGAAAGTGACAGAAAGTCTAAAAGTTTAAAGGTAGTCAGTTTTAATTAAAATATAATAAAGTTTACTTAATTTGTTTGAAAAAAAAATTTCATAAGTTTTTACCAGTTAACTTTAGATTATGTCTGTTCACATTTTTTGTTAACTAATTCTCTCCCATAGTGAGAAATCCAGAAATAAATTAGAAATTGTTGGTTTAATTTTTGTTTTACAACGGTTGCAGTTACATTAAACGGTGTGAAAGAACAAAGAAAATAAAAAAAATATTGAAAACAGACAACAGTCTCGCAAAATACAATAATACTCGAGTACAAAGCTTTTCGTTCTAATACAATTTTACATATTTAAGTTTAAAGTTATTTCATTTATAATAAGTGATATTTTCGTGAACTAATGCTATAAGTCTTTAATAGGAACTATCATTATGTTTTCACAGTCGAAAAAAAGTAATAATATTAAAAAATTTCAAAAACATCAAGTGCAGAGTTTTGTGTCATTGATGAAACAAATAAAGAGTATAGTACCTTAAATAAAATATTTAAAAAGATGTTTGTATTTTGTTAAGTTTTGGATCGCATTGATATCATAGAATTTATAGCGTTTAAAGTTGATTAATTGAAAGATTTACTTTAGAACTATGTTAATATTAACTTTCTTTTTAATTTTATTTAGAGTGAATTACCCATAACCTATCCACCTACTTCAACTGTTGAACAATCACAACAAGAATCTGAAACTTTTAAACAACCATCAGATCACATTGAACCAGTTACGGAAGACAAAACTACAAATGTAGCAAATGTTTCTGAACAAGACGATCAAAAACCAACCGATGAAACTGGAACAACAGATGAAACTGTTACTACACCATCGACAGGATCTCAACTTCAACTAGAATCTGTCATGGGCCGTTCATCTGAATCACACGTCGATAAATCTAATACTACGGTTGATTCCACAGATGATACACAAAATATTCAGCAACAAGAAGCTCAATCAACTTTTGTTTCTGACAGTTCCACAACACCTCCACCAACACCGCCAGCACCATTATCTACTCAAACATCACAGCAATCATCCAGAGCATCACGCTTACGTTACGATCGACAACAATTACTTGAATTGAAAAATTCACAGCCAAGCATGACAAAACCAGATAGCTTACCAAACATTGAAGTTGTACTAAGCAGGTAAGATAAATGACACATTGCCTACCTTGCATCTGTGTGTTTTTTACAATCATGAAGACGCAGACTTGTTCCATCAGGACTTCTGCGGTTGACTAAAATCCCTCTCTCCCTTCGAGGATGTTTGAATTAACAAGGTCTATTTCTCTGTTTAGACCTCAGCCATCATCACGTAGTCAAATGCCACACGACACGCAGTATCATGATTCTCAAGAACGTCGTGGTCCGCCACGTGCACCTGGCATTTATGTGCCAGGTCGTGGAAGTGGTGTAGGAATGGGTTCACGAACCATTCAAATTCCGAAAGATGATAAATTACATAAAGTCGATGATCCATACAGACCCCTAACTAAAACTCAGTTAGATGCAACTGCTAAAGTGATGAGAGACATACGTAGTACACTAAACAAATTGACACCACAAACATTTGATAAATTACAAAAACAATTAAGCGACTTAGAAATTAATCAACCAGAAAGATTACGAGGAATGATTGACATTTTTTTTGCTAAGGTAAGTTGACTTACAATCGTATACTATGGATTGTGACTTTTTGCTTTGATTTAGGCTGTTGATGAGCCCGGTTTTTCCTTTTTATATGCTAAATTATGTAAACTATTTCAAAAGAAACAAGTGACTGTACCAGATGATGGCGGTAAATCGGAAACATATTACTTCCGGCAAATATTGTTGACAAGATGTCAGAAAGAATTTGAAAATGACTATCGTCAAGAAATTCGATATGATGAACGAAATGTAGAATGTTCTCAAATACAAGATGTAAAGAAGCGAAAAGAGGAGCAAGAAAAACTAGACGAAGATTTAGCCAAGGCAAAACGAAAAAAATTAGGAAATATTTTGTAAGTTATGATCATAGCACACTCAATATCAGCAATATCCCATAGAACACATGCTAAGATGTGTACCAAGGCTATTGTCTGTCGCTTACACTCCTTCAACCAATGTCCGTCAAAAGTTGTCATACTAGTATCTACAATTCTGAGATTTGTTGAAATCCATCCTTTTGCCATTTTCGATAGGATTAGATAAATTTGACACAGTCCTATGTACTAGCTTATAACATTCTGGTTAGCAATGACACATTACATTCATTTCTTCCTTTGAACATAAAGAATCGAGTATGATCAATTCTTTATGACGACTATACTAATCTGCTTCTTTGGCGAATTGCCTCTTCTTAGTTTCATTGGCGAGTTATTTAAACTGCAAATGTTAACTGATACGATTATGTACGATTGCGTCGATTATTTACTTCGAGATAAAACAGATGAAGAAGCACTGGAATGTTTATCCAAATTATTGACAACAATCGGCAAAGAATTGGAACAGAAAGCAAGCGAAAAAGTATGTACATCTTACATGCAGAGCTATGACATGTTTGTTACTCTGTTAGCGTAAAAAGACAGCTTGCAGTTCTTTCATTTATTTGTCGAGTAATGGAGAATCTATTTGCCAAGGTTTACTTCAATAAAAAGACAGAGCAGATCTCATGCATAATATTAGTGATAAATAAGTAGATTATTTTCATAGTGAGAAGACATCGGGTTTTTTCTGTACATTAGCAGCGTGCTGTCACATTCAAATTTTTTTTACTGATTTTATTTTTGTTATTTTCTTCCTTTTAGCCTGCAAATAAAACAAATTTAGAAAAACATTATTCACAATTAGAAGGCATCGTTTCACAACGTCATACATCTGCTCGTATTCGATTCATGATTCAAGATTTGCTCGATTTAAGACGTGCCAACTGGGTAGCACGACGTGTAGAAGCGAAACCGATGACCATCGACGAAATACATGAACAAGAACGTGTGAAACGTGAATCACAAGCAATGCAACAAGATCTTGATCGACAACAAAGACGGTTAGATAATCAGCAAGGAGGAAATCAGGGACAACGAGGTAGTCAACAACAAGGACAACAGCGGGGTAGTATGAATAAACAACGAAGTATGGCCGGTCAGGGACAAGAAGATGAGCCGAGATTTAATGTGAGTAAATTATTACAGAACAATAGAAATACACCACAAACAAATATGGTAAGTTCATGTTGTGTCGGCGCTTATACAATTATTTTTAAGAGTTTCCTTTATTGATTAGCCCACATTTGGTCCAGCTGGAATGAAAGTGTGGGGCAAAGGTTCGGGTTTAACCGATAAACAAAAACAAGAAGACCAAGATCAAAGAAATAATCAACAGCAACCATTTGCTAACAGGTGAGTAACTAGAGTCATGTTATCCGTATCTGTGGTCTTCTGATTCGTTCGCATACGAGCAAGTAAAGATGAGAAAGCGTATAATTTTGCAAATTGTTTTCCCTTCGGATCGCATCCGATAAGATTGTGTATTTCACACAACAACAACAGGCAATCTCTGGATCTAGTTAGGTATGTAGTTGAGTTCGATGTTATAATTGCAGTTTAATGTTGTTGATTAGCTGTGTAACGTGTTGTTTGTGTCTACTCGCCGATACTGCTTTCTAGAGGTAAACCACCAACTGGTTCTGGTGGTCAATCACAAGTCCCGTCTCAATTTACATCTTCCAATTCAAAGTCAGCGAAACAGTCACCATCGCCTTATGGCTTAAATCAAGGTAATCCATTAGCACGTCAATCGTCTCGTGAATTAGCTTTGGGTAATCGTGATCGAGATCGTGAATCAGCCGTTCAATCTCTAAAACATATCAATACTCTGAAACATTCACAATCACAATCAAATTCAAGAGAAGGTATAATCTAAACAGTCTTATGACTGTCAACTTTTACTAAACATTGTCTACTTGCGTGTAGGAAGTCGAAATGTATCTCGAGAGCAATCGCGTAATCCCTCACGTGATAGTTCATTGAGTGAATCTCGAATCTCCACGACGAAGCCATCGACGCCACTTGCTGAACAGGCCTCATCCTCAACCATACCCAAGACACCAGAGTCACCATTAACAGAAGATAAAATTAAACAACGTGTACATTCACTTATCGAAGAATATACAGAAAACTATTCAGACAGAAGTGTCAGACCGGTGGAAGTACGTATTTTCTACAGCTATGTAATCTCACCGACTCATCAAGTGAAACTTATCATTAGTCATCATCTGCGTGAAAGCTTTTGAATGATCAACTATCAAACTTTAGTTCATTGTTTTGTAGAAGAGATACATAATCAGAGGATGTATTTCTGACTGTATGTTTTAGGATGCAATTGAGGATTTAACTGATTTTCATATTCGAACATCATCAGATGAAGAACTAGTTGTTCGAGAATTAATCACGAATGTTTTGGAATTGAAACCGCGAGCAATGATTGCTGTTGGACATTTACTAGATTCCGCTCAGAAACAACAAATATTAAGTGTGGATGGTATCACAAATGGGTACATAGATGATCATTTAACGCAATTTAATTGATCCTTAATTGATTGTCTTCTATTTCAGAATCCTAAGAGTTTTAGAAATAGCTGATGACTTATCTGTTGATATCCCGTTAGTTTGGCAATATATAGGAGAAATAATAGGAACATATGTTGGCAGTTCACAATCACAATCAACAACGAATATTTCAATAGTGAAAACAATTATGCAAACTGTACCAGACGACAAATCGAAAAAAATGATCGCAGATATTATCAAATATGCTCAAGAATTTTCTGTAAGTCTATACACGTTGACTGCGTGTGTGAATGAAAAGGAGTCGATCAGGCGTGTGTTGTTGAATAAACGATAATGTTCTAATATAAAACTCTCATTTTTTGCTCGTGATCTAAAGTCACTGCCATCGACATATAGTAGACGGTTATTTGTGCAGTCACGTAAAGATTCTACTTGTTTGAAGTCAGTTTGACTACCTAAAGTTTTGTTATCGTACGCTTACAGTTGTAAGGGATATAAGCAAAAAGGCGGCTCAGTTTCGTCGATTGTTTCTCTCGATTAGATTTGTTAATTTCGAAAATCAAAGGTTTGTATTGTTGTGAACTGACTTTTTCGCCGTCAAAACCTATGGAACAACAAAGAAATAATAGAAAATTAACGATGATTTAAAGCCCAATCAAGATTGATTTGAGCGTGAAAATATTATTTTTCCTTCACTGAATAAAAATATAACACTAAATTGAGACCAAATAGAGAATACCAACACGACCTCTTGTGAGAACACATCAAGTTCTATCGTGTTGTTAGTCGATTGTCGAGAGGAAATTGTCAGTTCACCTATTGGATTTTGTTAATAACATAATATCTTTTTACCACACTAACGAATAGATTTGTTTTGTATTTAGTTTTTTGTCTAATTCTAGTCCAAATCAAAACTTATTTCTTTGTGGCAGTTATCTGGATTAACATTTGAAGATTTGTTGAAACCACCTGTGATTGATCAACAACTTTTGACAGATTATGATTGGTTATTGAATCCAACAACAACAACTCCCGATGAAGCAACACAACAACAATCTTTTGTAGCCACAAATACTCCTCACTCTGATCCTCATCTAGTAAAATTGTTTCGATCAGTCAATGAACTACAAGTCGGATCAAGCGTACAAGATCAAGAAATTAATAAATATATACAAGATGTAAGTACGTCAGCTCACTAATCTTGATGTTATGGAGACTTGATATTTCATTCTGTTTGTTGTAGAAAATGGACCCATCGGATAAATACTATATTCGAAATATTGTGTTATCATATCTGGAAGCGTGTCTGGTGACTCGAGATCCGAATAACAAGAAGATAAATGAAGATGTGGCAAAGAAACGAATGGCCATTTTAAGTTCAATTATTCAGCATGAACAAGACAAAGAAATACAAGCGGTCTATGCTATACAAAATTTTATCACAAAATTAGAACATCCATCTAGTATGTAAAAATATTTCCTATTTGCAGACGGGCGTCGGATGACGCGTTTGGTGATAAATGATGACTCTTTGAGATAATTGATGTTAATAAAAGGTCCCAGAATACTGTTATCAGTAACATACACAAACATCCATTAGTTTTTCGTTCGGTTTAGACTTATTCAAAAAATGAACGTCATTCTATGCAGTTTTATGCGCTGATTTCAAATATCACATTATGTTTTTTATACGAATGTTCCTGGACTGAGAAAAGCGCATTTTATCTAAAAAACTACAGGTTTTTTGGAAACCTATAACTAAGCTTCAGGAAAAAACTGTACAAAGCTTCATGCAGTATAGAGAGAGGACATGAAGTCGGACATTCTGGTGTAATTTTGAATCAGATTCGACCTTGGATGTCTTCCAACTTCATCTCTTCATACTGTTATTAATGATTTGTTTCTTTTTTTCTTTATCTTAGAAATGGCTCGTTTGTTATTCGATATTTTCTATGATGAAGAATGTGTGAGCGAAGATGCGTTTTTGGAATGGCGAAACCATCCAGATCAATCTGAGATCAATGGTCATTCCGTACTGACTATGTCAACAAAAGACTTTTTTGATTGGTTATCACAAGCCGAGACAGAAACTGAACAAGACCAGGAAGATGAATAGATTTAGTTGAACGCTGTTTTTGTTGTTGTTGTTAAGAATTTTTATTTATTTTCTACTCTCTCTTTCTCATATTGTTTTTCTTTTGTTACTTTCTCGTTTTCCTATGATACCCGTTGTGTTGTTGTCTGTAGGAAAACAGTAAACAGTACTACTTTTGCGTGTGTTATCTTATGCTTGGCTCTGCCGTTTTGTTGGTGGATGAAATTCTCTTTGTGTCACTACTTTATGTGTGTCTGTGTGTGTGCTTATATTTTTGATGTTGGCAGCGTATTTTTTGTTTGTTTTTTCTTTTTGGCACGTGTATTACTGCTGTTGCTGAAGAAAAAAGAAATATATTCATGTTGAACATTGTGAATGGAAGAAGAAGAGGCATTGTGTGTGGGGTGGTATGGGTGTGGGTGTGTTGATCACGCGATAGTGTAAAGTTCATTTGAGTTTGTTGATGTAATTCTAAAATTACGAGTCGAATATTGTTGAGGATATGAAAGTATTAAAAAAACTAGTTGAGAAGTGTCCTACGCGCGCTTGTCCAAATTTCAAAATAGAAGGTAGGTACTGGTCAATATGTAAAAGTTGTTTGTCTCACACTATGCCTTCTTGTTGTCAAATTCTCTTTTTTCTTTTTTATGAGATGATTGTATGCATTGTCTATTTCATTCATATACGCACCTATTGTTTATGCAACAAAAACTGAATAATAAATGCGTGTGTGTTTTGTTTGTTTAGGAAAATTCTCTTTCTCTCTGGTGTTCTTCATGTGTCGCGCCAAGTCTGCCAATCATTTGTGTGCATTCGTCTAATTTTCATTTTTCTTAACTTGTGAAAAACAGTACTCTTTATTTGTTTATTCTGACAACAACGATCTCCCTTTTCTTTTCGTTCACTCTTTCCGCTTGTTTTATGTTCTTGTTGTCATTTTTTTTTTTGAACCTGTTGAAGGTCAGTCTGTTCTGACGTTCATCATTCTTTTGCTTTCATTATCTGAATTAAATGAGACCAAAAATATCAAAATAAGATAAAATAAAAACAACCGAGCAAACTCTTACAGAGATTGTTCAACAAAAAAAAAATTGAGTGTCATTTTTTTGAACGGATGCATCGAAACTGAAAATGTAATTGATTACTTTCACTCCTGATACATTGTGCTATTATAGTTGAGAAAAGACTGCCGCCGTGTAGAGCGCACAATATTGCATATCTGTCGTGTTGTATTTTTGCGACTATCAAATTGGTTTTGTCAGAGAGTTCATTGATAGTCATAGAAAATGGCTAATTGTTAAAAAATTTGTAACACTTCGAAAACGCAGTCGCTAGTCGTGAAACTTCGTGGGTATACTTAATTCAACATTCTCTACAAGCTGACCATATCACAATTTGGCCTTGAAGAAAAAACCTAAAATCGAAGATTTTTAGAAGACGTTGGTTTTCCAGAAACCCATCATGGCAGAAACGACTATTAGTTCGTAATCAGCACCTTCAACTATATATCCGAGTCATAATCTGATAGATTTCTGGCAAAAGGCATCAGCTGAGGATTCCCCCTAAGCGATTTTGTCATGTAACAGAATACAGTTTTAATAAAAAGATGAGGTTAGAACAATAAAACTAAAGCAACGGTTTGAATCATTTTAAATTTCTTACGTTTCGATTTATTTAGAAATCATTGTCAAGGATATACAGAAACAAAAAGATTTCTTTTAAACTGAATGGCGTCAATACTGTATTTATATATGTACAAAATGGCTCATAAAAAACTTACGCCATTTTGTAATGGTCTTTCTATGGCCTTAGAATTCAATGTTTGATTCGATTCTTTTTGTGATAGAAAGAGTTGAAAAAAAGCTGCTCAGTAGAACTGTTTATATTTTTGAAAAGATTCCACCATAAGCAGAGCTTAAAAAATTCTTGGTTATCTTTTAAAGATTTTTTTTATTTTCACACGATTTTCTAAGCTTAATGCTAATTAATGTTATATGCCTCTTCATTATACTTTACTTTATTTCTTATTAAGAAAGCAAACTTTATCAATCATTTAGGCATATTTTTGTAGCCGTTTAAAAGCTCTATCTACTGAATCGATCGTGATTAAAGCTAATTCAAGTGGTGAAATAGCGAAATTCATATCACACACATCTCTTCACAAACCTGTCATTAATCACGGCAGTCAGTTGACAGTCCCGTTGGACAATACTGATATGGCACCAGCACCGATGACATTTGATTTTAGTCTGGCAAGAATTCCTGACGAGCAGCAGCACGATTCTCACATTTTAAAGATTAAAGAATAGCTGAAGACCGCGATTCGGTCGTATTTAAATTTCATCATCGAAAATGTTCTTCTATATACAATGGTGTCATACGACGACATGATGAGATAGTGACTATATGAAAATACATTTCCTGGAAAGGAAATGTTTCTTTTATATAATCACGCAGTAGTACACTGACGCTACTGTAAACTCATATGCTACCACCAGATTTATATTTTCACTTGGTGATGCTGTCGCCTAGTCGTGGGTTAAACATATCGTGTGTAGACAGGCTTGAGATCGTTCACGTGTACTTGTCTCGTTGTGATTGATGCTGGATCTAAAATTGTATATGGTGGATGTCTGTCGTGTATGATCACATGAGGACCAGAATATCGTTCAGTGAATTTTTCGCGATGCCCGGGTACTTTCCACAAAACTAATTCATTAGTTCTATATCGTGGATCAATCTGATTCCGATCGTAACGCTCCTTTGCTTGTTGTTGTTGAATCTGGACATGTTTTCGGGCTGCTTGGTTATAAGTGTTGATGCATTTGACCAGGTGTGCCCAATAATCATTGGGTCGGCTAAATGTGAATGTTGTTGTGTGATCGAGTGGTAACACCGGCTGGCAGGCAAATATCAGTTGAAACGGAGAGTATCCAGTACTGCGTTGTTGACCCGTATTGTATAAAGGCTGCCAATTCGATCTACTCTAGCGGCACATTTAATCACGAAACTTGTAAAACTTCTCAGTAATCAACTTGCAGCGGTGCGAGCAACTCATCCGTAATAAGCAGAAACACGATTCTTCTCTCTCATTTCCTCAGCAGCAATAAGCAATGGTTGTTAGTAATTGTGATTACCGTTGTTGAGAAGATTGATGATTTATATATTCAACAGTAAGCAAAATGTTGAACATCTTTATTACTCATCATCTTGTTTAGTGTTAAATTAATAACAAATACAGTAGTTCAGTACACAAGATATCGATTTTGTGAGATGTCAGACAGAGATATTAAGAAATATAACATTGCCATGAAAAAATCTCAACATTAAGAAATAAAATTCAACAACAGCATACGCAGAAAATTGATTTTATCCTCTTAGAAGAGATGAATATTCAACTACAGTGTGATCACCGATTTTTGATCTGTTCTTTTGAAGAATCGCAAAATTCGACTGAATAATACAGTTTTCGAACTCAATGTCACTGCTCTTTTAGAAAAGTTCAAGTTGAAGTTAGAAAATAAACTTGTTTTCACGTATAATATTTAAGAAAATAGAAGACATAATGATCGAAGTCACAAATCAATTGTTGTTATTTGTGTTGCTGTTCTTCGTTTTTTCGTATAACATGCATGAACGCAATCGTAGGTAATATCTTCAATACATTCCTTTTGTTTATGTTTTGCTTTTACTCTCAACAGACATATGATTTCTTTTGTTATTCGCCGAAAATGTTCATTAAATATACAATAGATAATCAGATGTCCACTAGCATTAATTATTTGTAAAAAATTAACAATTGTATTGAAGCTACGTCGAATTCGACAACGCAAAAAAAATTTTTGTGGAATATTATCATAATCACTTGTGATCGATTTTTGTTGTTCGTAAATATGATTTATCAGCATTGGAAAACGGCAGAGAAGAAAGACAAGAACGAGTGCTATTAACATTGATGTTATACTATGTCTTTTGTTTGGTACTGTGTTTATTAGACATTGACGCTGTAAACGAAATTGAAATAGTTTTCGTATTGTTAACAGAGTTGTAATAATCAAAATACTTGATGGTAGAACGTAAACAATGGGAATGTAACCATAAACGTGAAAAATTTGACGAAATCGAAGATGTTGACCCACTTGTGTTACTAAAAAAAACATATAGCAATAGATTATTAACTTACCATTATATGTTGACTGACTTACATTCTAATTTGTATCTTGTTCTATTTGTTTCTATATCAATGTGTTGAATTGCTCGATATTTTAACCAATTTGGCAGCACACATAGAGATGAAAATAATGTCAATATGATAATTATTTTTAATGCAGTTCGAACTGTACAATATCGATCAGATTTAACACCGCAAGAAATGTACAAATATCGATCAACACTAGCAGCTACCGTATAATAAATTGAGCATAACTGAAACGTGTTCATCAATGGTATAACATACGGCGATGATCTTTTGAAAAAAATCAAAATGTATATAGATTTCAAGTTTATATTGAGGCACGTCAGACATCTATCTCGGTAACCACCAGTCTGATCTGAGCAAAAATTTTGGGGAATGTTTAGGAATAGTTTACTGCATAAGTTTGGTGGCTTCATCTGTCATCGTTTAGAAGATGTCGTTCGAACATCGGTCAAAATGGGGCATCTACCGTTCGACAGATTTCTCCCTTCGAAAAACAGCTATAGAGCTTGGGCTGGTTTTAAAATATATTAAAATGAAGTTAGAGTAATGACGTAACAGAACCGGATTTTTGAATTTTTTGTTGGTTTTATTTTCCGAAGGATTTCATTTAAAAAGTTCGAAAAAATCGCAAAAACTGACCTATAACTTTCAACACTGGAAAATGATGACGGTCTAAATCAAAAATCGGGGTCTGTTACGTTGCTCCCATATGTCTTAGCTTCAATTTAAGACCAACCAGAGCTCTCTAGCGCTTGATTTGACGGAGAAATCTTCCCGACGGTGTTTATCACGTAGGAAAAAGTCGCTTCTGAGATACAGTGGCGATAGTGCGCTAGTGTACGACACACGTTTTGGGGCTCTTAATAAAACTGCAATAACTTTTGATCAAAGCATTGCTTGGTGCTGGAAGACGTCTCATTTTAACCATAAATGTTTACTCTACGAATTGGAGTCGCTAGAATCCTTTTTGATTCCAACATTTCATTGAAATATCTGAATTTCAGAAAAATCAGGTTTTTAGGGCGTTTAGAAGATTTGTTCAAAATCCTCCAGAAACCTTTGATATTTGCAGAAATAGTATGGTTTCTAAAAGTAGGCACCTTGGGCTCTTAAATTATGCGCTTAGCTCAATATGGATCTTGTATAGAAAAATCTATATTTCTGACCGGGGGAGGAGGGGTTAAAAGTTATGTGCACGAAGGTATGTTACCTGTCATATAATTGATTGTAGACACTAACTCGTTTTTCATCATTATGCTCAATAAAGTTAGGTATGATCAAAATGAATCTCAATGCTTGTGTTATAATATAGAGTAACAACCAAATGAAATTTGTGATCGACAGTGCTAGAAGATACGTATTTGTTGATAACGTTCTCATTCGTGTATTTCCGAATACGAGAATCGATATGAAAGTACCCATAAGACCAAATAGACAAATGAACAGTGATGTCCAACCACCGAGATACAGTTGAATTTTTAATATAAAATTTTCATCAGCTGGTGTACAACGAGTTGAATTACTGATCATCGTTCAAGTGTAAGAGTTTCGTTTGTATCCAAATAAAAATGAGTTCTATGATGTTTTATGGAAATAGCAGAAGAAAAAGAGTTTTTTTTGTATGTTACCGAGTTATAGGGTATAAAGGAAAGTGATAATATAGATTTATAGATGATTTTTATTACCCTTATCCATTTATCTTTCCTCTCTCATATAAAATAATTCATTTTTTCATTGTTGATTCATCCGACATCTAATGATCTGTCGTTTTCATTGCTTGTACTTTTTTGCAACGATTAGAATCTCTCTTTTTATTAAATAGATTAATAATATGAGTGAAACAATGATTAAAAAATTAGAAAAATCTTGTCAAAACATCTCTTAGGTCCTGGAGGAAATCTCATAAGTGTATATTGCACTACAATACACATTAATGATGATGAACAAAACTTAGTCTGTTTGGAAGATCAATATGTTAGGTAAAATGAAGATATTCAATCATGAAAAAGTAAATGCATTTTATTGCTTATGATAATGCTCTGTTTATTGATTTAGCATGAATTGACAAGAGAAAAATGACGAGCCATATAAAGAATAAAAAGAAAAACAATAATAATAAACCTTGGCAAATTGTAACAGCAAACAAATATGTTGACAAACCTACACCCTACAAAAATGTGACTTTAAGGACGACACCGAAGTTGGTTCTCATATAGCCACATTTTGAGAGACTCTTTTGAAGTCTCTCTGATGTATCTTCTGAAGAAGACACATTAAAAAATATTTTTCGTTCCCGTTAACAACTGAACTCATAACGGAAGATTTTCGCACACCAAATCGCTTTTTGAATAAAACATATGTAGATATATGCTGATTTCGAATATAATAATGGGGACGGCGTATGAGTTTTTGAAGTCCAGTTGTCTAGAAAACCGATCTCTAGATCCGAAACCTTTTTAGATTAGGATTTGCTTTCGATTATGCCAGTTTACATAGTATGTCAAGTTACTTATATGAAATTATTTTCGTCGATATTGAATACGTTTTAGCGAAGTTATGATAATTTAGGTATGAAACATTAGCATAACTAGGGGTGTTAATTTAGTTTTACTGTTCAATTTATAATAATGGATAAAAGTAAATGAATCTTTTATACTAAAAAAATAAAGATAAATTCGTCATTTATATTTATTTTCCAAGGTAACACTAAATTAACACCCCTAAGCATAACGTATAGGATTGGGCTTCGATAAAAGAATTTCCAAAAAACAGCAAAAAAAATTCATTTAAAAAATGAAAATCGATAGAAACTAGTACTAAAAGATCGAATCGAGCAGTTTCACTTCCGAAGATACTTTGCTCTATTGTCATACGTCTAGAACTCGTCATTTTTCTGGCATCATTTGAATTTCACGTATTTCTTAAACTGAATTGCATATAACTGTGCTGAAACTTATTTAGAAGTGACGAAAATGTTTTCATGTAAGTAGTTTGACATACCCTATAAACTGACATGGTCAAAAGCGAATTATGGCCAAAAAAGGTGTCGAATCTCGAGATCCAGTTTTCTTCAATGTAACTTTTATGCGCCAACCCATTGACACGTTAAAGAAATATTGAAGACGCACATTATGGTTAAAAAGAAGCCATCACATAAAAGATATTTTTTCGATAGATACATGGTTGAAGTCGCATTTTTTTTAAATAAACTAAATCTTTATTGACTTAAAAAAGATATGGCAGAACACCGATTTCTACGCATCAGTCTAAATAACATTATTCATCGCCTATACCATACATATAGGAAGATATGAACAGTATTAACTACTACGGCATTGGAAGACCACTTTTCAAAGAGGTGGCAGTACCGAGTGACAAGTGTGTGTTTGTCTGTGAGAGAGACGTTAAAAAGCGACAGAATCTCGTAGATTTTCGTATCTATTACAAGTAAAGCCAATGATTAGATGGTTGATCTTTCTGAACTCGTATACAAGAGAAGAGCAACAATAGTCCACGGTGATAGGAAAAGTAAAAGAGTTTATTCAGAACTTTATTTTCTCATATCATACTCTTGTTTTTGTGATACATGCTCAATTTTGATATAGCTCGCCAGTTTGATACCTACAACAAAGACTGTGTGATATTTTCGAATAAAATGTAAAAAACTGCATCGATTCATACAGTCAACTTATTGATCGAAATTGCAGATAAACAATAACAGTCTCGATTACAAAACATAATATCACTGTAGGCTATTGTTGCTCGTCTCGTCGATACGAACACAGAAAGATGGACCTTTTAATCCTCAACTTTCCTTGTATAAGATAGTGCTCCTCAATGCATATCTAATGGTGTATTATATTAGACTAAATACTAGATAGTTAGTGCGAAAGATTCGTTTTATGACCGTACTAATAGTATGATGGAAGTGTTCCTTTTGGAGTAGATTTCGGTAGATATCTTCAACCGAAAGCGCTCAAAAGGATCGATATAATCAAACAAGATCATTTTTATAAGTTTTGGACACATTGAAGCAATAACATGTATTGGATCGATTTCAAGTCTTATGCATTGATCCATTTAGTCTTCGATTTTGATATGCACACAACTGCCTGCGAATTCCATGTACTATTGTACTATTTTCAGAGCGCTCGCTTTACAATGAATGAAATGTTTTGATTTCTGTTAAAATACTTGTCTTCTGCGCAGTTTTATGCACTCTGTCCAACGCTATGGTTGAAAGTAAGTTTTGTTTACGTTTAAACGGTAAAATTCTACTCTTAAATTTCAATTTTTATTCTCTCAAACGCATTATTTTTTGATAGTATATTTTTCACTATGCATAGCTGACAATTTGCTTATTTGAATAATATATTAGAAGCGAACAGTGCGAAAGTCTGAGGATTACTAAAAAAATTAGAGATAATCGAACGACATATCCGAGAAAGTCAATTGTTAGATATGACATAATTTATTTTCAACGATCGAAATTAAACAAAACGCAGTCTAGAGTTAAAATAAGAATATAAGGAAGTAGAAAACCGAAGGGAGAAAGCATGATATAAAGTGTTTGAACCTCACATCCATAGGGAATACTCTCATTGAAGTGAAAGTTGTGAAATTAAACTCATGTTATAAAAATCGTCACAAAGCTTCATCAAAAAATTATTTTTCCACTTCTAAGTGTATAGCCCATTATATTTCAAAAGCTATTAAGATTCGTACAGAATCCTAGCAGATAATGCCGAGTGGAAAATAAAAGCCGGCAGGCAGCTAATTTCCATAGCTTTTGAAATACAACGGGCTATACACTTAGAAGTGAAAAAATAATTTTTTGATGACGCTTCTATCTGCGATGCTACCGTTCTATTAAATTTCTTTCTATAAAACTTTTTAATCCAAGAGCACTAAACACCTGACGTTCGAAATTGTAAAATCTAGAATTAATACGGTATCATTCCTAAGTATATTCATCTCGTCTGAACGTCTATGAAAGTATCTACGATATTTTATGGTATTCAGTCCGTTGACATTTTTTTTTGTATTATTACTAATATACACATTTCTATATTGACGTCTTTGTATCGGACGAATTTGATTGTACATATGAGAAAGAGAAACGTTGTCGAAAGAGAAGAAAAAAGAAAAAGATTTTCATTTTGTTGATGTTCTAAAATAAGTACACATATTTAAAAGAGTGATAGAAAGAGAAATAATATTTGAGTATATAGTTACACGTTAGTTAGAATAAGAGATTGGATTTGTACTGATTATTAGGTTTTATAATCACATGTGCAGAGACAAAAAAATACGATGGATAGTTGTAAATACGAAACATTTTCTCTACTGTAGACACAGACTAAATAGACGTGGCTAGAAAATTTAACCTGTCTTAATCTTGGTAATAACACTAAAAAACGCAATCTTTGAAAGTTGCCGATTTAATTTTGACTAATTATTATCCTGTTTTTTCACGTTCCAAAACTCGTGTTTTTTAACGAGATATAGAGTAGTAGGATGATACTGTTGTCTGAAAATCTAACTCGCCTCATAGCAGCTGTCCTTTATTTTTCTGTTTTTAGATTCTCTAGTGAAAAATGGAGTCATTATTTATTGAAAACTCGTTACGCCGTTTGTCATTATTGATTGCTAAAGCCACTCTTCCTCCTTCGCCAACGCCTCTTCCTTCTCCCTCACCATCTTCCGTCACATCAAAATGTAAACGTGAAAACAGCACCAACGATTTGGTAATGAAAAATGGCAATGGAACTTATGCGTGTGCAATGAACGACGTTGTCTTCTTATGTAATCCACCGAATGAAGTACAACGACAAAAACATGAAAATAAAAATCAATATGAATTAGAAAAATCGAGGACAAATAAATCATTACCACAAGTTGTTCCTAATTATACAAACGATGATGACATTGAAGAAAAAACATCGATGGTCAAACAATGGATAACAACAACGACAATCGAGAATGATCAACTAAAAGGTAGAGAGTCTCATACAGTGCAACGACAATACACTTTGAAGGCTTTCTTTTTAGTTCCATTCGTTCAGACAACGAATCATCTTTATCCACCATGTGCTGTGGCGATTTCACTTGATCGTGCTTTGGACATGCGATTATCAAAATTTAATCAAACAACAAATGATGGTCATCGAAAAAAATATTCGTCAAAAATTGAACCATTATTGATAGAATTATCAAATGATCGACTAAGAAGTTATTTAAGACGTTTAGAAAATGATCCAAGTTTGAAAGAATTTATTCAACCAATTTAAATAAATAAACAATGCTACGATTGATGAATATTTGTTTTCTCACTTAATTTCGTTTTTATTGTGAGCCTGCTTGTTTTGATGTCTATTAAAAACATTGTGTTTAATGATAGGTGAAAATTAGATTAACTTTGTAGTCACGTTCTCAACTTTTTTTTTTATCATGATCTCATTAAACTTTAAACAAGAATGTAACTATGAAACTTGGAAATCAGAACATTCGATCAGAACATTTGGAAATTAGAGCATTCGAGTAGAGCGACAAACGAAACAAGCGACTGCCACTCAACATTTTTCTTACAATTCCTTTTGCTGATTGAACATTATCTTGGATTGTTGTATTCGGATAATTATGGTACTATAGACATCCCGACTTGAGTTTTCATTTAAATATTTTTTACCTTTGACTAAATTCGAGACTTCTGTATTTTCAAACTTGCAGCAGGAAATATCTCACATGCTACATAATGACAAACGCATATTAAGAAATGAAGAAGAGCATACACCTATATCGTACTCGTTTGCAGGCATAGATCGCAAAAAAACATAGTAATACGGCGTATTTCATGTTGCTTATACCAGGGCTAGAATCAGGTCAAACAGCCTGTCTGTTACAGACAGGCCAGGCTACAACTTTTCGGCCTGCACCAGGCTAAGGCAGACCTTTGAAAACATCAGGCGGCCTAGCCTGGTTATTAACGAACACCGTGCAGCATTAAATCCTGACACGGTTGAGGATATCTTGTTAGTTAGATCAGTTCAGAAAATACTTGAACAAAAACCTAATTTTTTTACTTAAATATATTGTTTAATTATCTGTCACTTTTCCTTTCATCTTATGTTACTATTATTTGTACATTTTGTTTATTAAAAAAATGACCAGGCTTCTGCAGACCAGGCCAGGATAGGCCGACAGCAATGGCAGGCAGAAAGGCAAGGCCCAGAAAATATATCGACAGGCCCAGGCAGATCTAAACATTACAAGCCTGACGCAAGCAGACCAGGCCTCAAAAGTGTCGGTCTGTTTCGAGCCCTGGCTTATATCATTCTATTCCACACGCTTTTACATACTCCAATATTTCTTGCGATTTTTCTACAATTTAGACATAAGCTTTTGATTATTTGGGTTATTTTATTCAGTATTTCAGCCATTTTTAACCTGTTTGATTATCGCCGTTGTTGTTGTACTTCATGATTGTTCCGTTTTGTTATACCTTGCCAAATTTTCTTTTATATTTAACAAATAAATTGAATTGAATTGAACTTCATCCACATACTTTCACGATATGGTATCGAGTGTGGGAATACTATTTTTAGGTATAGTATACTATTCCCGCCACTCAGGCCCATCCAGGTTCCCGCGGCAGGACGCGAACCAGAAATCACGGGAAACATCCTCGGATTCGATCGATCCCTGCACATTTCAGATCAGATACGGCTACCGGAAACATCGAACTAGATGATTCTCGAAAAAATTTTAAACTTTTACCACACTTCTCTAAAATTGATAAACATTAGTGCTTGCTTAATCTTGATTTTAATTTGATGAAGACAAGGAACAAGTAAAAATCGTATTGAGGCACAGCGATCATGTCGTGACCAACATGGCTCTTGCGTTTACCTCTTATCACAGGGTCTTCGATAGACTCAAATATCAGTTTCTTTTTTTACTACGGCAGCCATATCGGGGGGAACGACTTGAAAAACTCTCTTTTATCTGAATTACATGTTGACAGGCCTAAAAAAAGTAAAACTGTTTAAAGCGAATAAACGATTTTTTTTAATAATACACTTCGAAAAATAAATGCGACTTCTAGATAGACGCCGAACCCGCTTCCTATTTAGTCACATAATTGCGTCTATTTCGAAGATACATTATGCGTCGCATGAAAGACACTGAAGTCAGTTCTCATTTAGCCGCATTAAAGCGATTTCTTTGAAGTCGCTTCGATGTGTTTTCCGGTAAAGGCACATTAAAAAGATTTTTTGTTTCTGCCGAAAGTTGAACTCGATCTGTTCACTTATCAGAGGAAAATATTCACCATGGAACTACCAACGCACATCAATTAATAGTTTTAGTAGTCTCTTACGTTGACGTTTCGTGTGAGACTTTAGTCAAAAACTTGCAAAAAGCAGAAACACATGGAAGCCTCTAGGTCACAGAAAGATTGCTGTTTTCTGCTTTTTCCTGACAATTTGCTTGTCTCATACGGTGAACTTGACAGTGTTTACTACTTCCTCTAAAATTTCATAAGACCTCTCATTGATAAATTCTGTTCGCTCCTTCTAGAGACTCAACAGCTTCGCGTAAACACAGCACAAGCAGTACTCTTCTTCAAGTGTTCTCAGTCGTTACCTAGTATATTGAGTTAAATCGGAAATACAGTTAGAAATCACTTCTACATCTGCAATGAAAATTGAATCCAGATCCGCATCTTTAAGAAAAAATTTGTTAAGTGGTACTAATAGTTACGTCGATATTTTCAAGGCATTCACGAAGATGTGAGCACTGTCTTTCTGATTGTGTAATTCTTTGGGAAATGCACCACGTTTACGTCGACTTTATGCCAATCATTGAATACCTTAAGGACTAGAACAACTTAAGTTTCTGATGACGAATATCCAAGAGGGAAACAGATTTTTGATGCACATGATTTTTGAGCTTAAAAAATCGGTTTAAATCGAAAATCGCTAAGAATCGTTAAAATCCTAAAAAATCTCTACAAATCGTTAAAAATCGCATATGATTTTATCATTTTTTTCGTTACTTTCACTATGTCTGATTCCCATTTTGTACAAATAAAGCAGGTTTCGCACTATTTATCGCAGTCTCTTTAGTTGATTTCCCAAACAAATCACAGGAAATCGGAAAAAATCGATGAAAATCAGTGAAAATCGGAAAAATCCCAAAATCAGCTGTTTCCCCCTTGCGAATATCACATTAAGAAATTTTGACTCTCTCATCTGTAGGCAGGGGCATTTCCCAGTAGAACGGATCTTTTAGGGGCATTCCCATCATTTCTTAACGAAACATTTTTTTGGGATCTGAAGTTGTCAGATTAGAATCTATATATATATATATAGGACTACAAAGTCTCTAGCCGACAGAAAATTTCAAAATGTTAGGAACAGACTTAAGAATTTTCTTTTGAAAAATAATCTGTTTCTGTAAATCATATTTTCTTCACAAAATCAAGTCAAAAATGATAACAAGGTATGCATTTGTCGCGGTTTCTCAAGCTCTACTCGATGAACTAACTCTCATTGAGATTTAAAGTAGTTAACGCTAGACAAAAGTCAATTTCTAAAGACCGTTTTCGTCTTCTTTTCTAGCAAGAATACCAGAGGATTTCGACTGTTTGAGTAGTCCGTGTAGATATCAAGAGCAGTACTTAAGGCACGAGAATGTTAAATTTAGGTTTTCCCCGTAAAAAAACCGTCGTTCTATTTGCACTGTTTGGTCGTTGGAAACTGCGGTCGATGATTAATCAAAATCTTGCAATAATCGTCAAAGAGAGCAAAAGCCGACGAGGTGGCCGAGCGGTTAAGGCGATGGACTGCTAATCCATTTCCCTCTGGGAGCGTGAGTTCGAATCTCATCCTCGTCGAATGTTTCTTTTTTCTTTTTTCTTTATTGATACAAGTATTAAGTGTAGACAAAAAATGACTAACATCAACGACTTATTGCCACAAGAATTGCTACAAGAAATATTTTTTCAAATACAACCATTTAATGACCTATTAAATATATCACTAACGTGTCGCCAATGGAGTCATTCAATGTCATAGTCATTCATTCATTTTCAAGTTCATAGTAATACTGTGATACAATGATACTATGAAACTATGAAACTGTGAAAATCATAGTATGATATTGTGAAACCATGAATTTCAGCGTAAAGGAAATTTAAGAAAATGGTTTAAATTTGATAAAGATAATAAGGAGACAGACATTAATTTTGTATCGAATCATCATATACCAACGCCAGTATGTTTTATTCGTAATAAGAAATTAGATTGTGATTGTTTAATAATTGATGAAACAAGATTCATATCAATAGAAACAATTACTACTTGTACAACAGATGATTATTCTATTTTATTTTGGTTTTCCACTGTATCTGGTTATTCACCGCCGTATTTTCTAGTAGTATTATGTCACGTTAATGATACATTTAATAGTTCATTAAATGGTTGTATTTGAAAAAATATTTCTTGTAGGAATTCTTGTGGCAATAAGTCGTTGATGTTAGTCATTTTTTATCTACACGTAAAAACATAAACCCCCCCCCAGAATAGAAGGGCATGGCTTTCTCTTGTGTCCCGTCGGATCAAACTTTTTAGGGTGGCCTTCTATTAAGAGTGGCCTTCTAAACCGACCTCCTAGATAGAATTTTCTAAAAG